AGTTTTGTTCGCTTTGCTGGCTGCAGTATTGCATTGGTGGCTTATGTTCATCTTGGGGTCAGTCATGACCCCTGAGTCTCTTTTGGTTGTGGTGCTAGTGAGTGTAGCACTGCCAAGCCTATAAGTATGATGTAGGTTTTTTCTTCTGAGGTGGAGCACCTTGCATTTCTTTATGTTGAATGTCATCAGGTTTTTAATCCTCCACCTTATGAGCCTGTCCATGTCAGCCTGACTTGCCAGCCTATCCTCTAGGCTGCGTGACTGCACTTCTCCATAATTTGGTGTCATCCACAAACTTAGCCAGTCTGCTTCTGACACCTGAATCCAGATAATTTATGATTACATTAAAGAGTACTGGTCTGAGTACTGAGCCCTGAGGGATGCCTCTGGTCACCATGTTGACTCGGTTCCATTGACTATCACTCTCTGGGTCTGACCATGGAGTCAGTTCCCTAGCCATTGGACCATAAGGTTCTCAAGGCCGCAATTTTACCATGAGGACTTCATGGGAGACTGAGTCAAAGGCTTTTTTGAAATCTAAAGATATGACATCAACCTCTTCTCCTTTGTCCAGGTATTGCATCCTGGAAGACCTACCCGCAGTGAAGCCATGTTAGCTATCTCTCAGAATATTGCCTTCTGTTAGCCTGTTGTTGATGGTTTCTTTGATGATTTTTTCCAAGATCTTTCCAGGGATTGAGGTCAAACTCATTGGCCTGTAGTTCCCTGGATCTTCCTTCTTTCCTTTCTTGAAGATAGGCACCACATTGTCCCTCTTCCAATCTTCAAGAAGCTCTATGTTACCTTAAATTTACTGCACAGTAAGTTACTGCGCAGTAAGTGGGAATAGTCCAGCGTCTACATGTGCAGGTATTAAAGCAAATTAATTCTGTGCGTGGACTGACTTGGGACTTGTTACTGAGCAGTAAGGCGTCTACACATGCATTATTGTGCGGTAACTAATCGGGCGTAAATTTGATATCTGCATGATGCAAATTAACACTCAAGTTGGCATAAGTTGCCATATTTACTGTGCAATAGGGGTGTGCACATGTTGGTTACTGTGCAGTCAATGCACGCATATAGACACGCCCCCTTTTTCCTCACTGCTAAACCTCCCCCCCCCCCATTGCCTGATAAACCCCTTCATGTGTTTGTATGACAGTGTGTATCTACATGAGAAGCTTTAATGCACAGTAGACCAATTTTACTGTGCATTGTCATGGCTACTGCACATTTATGTAGTACCTCATATTAGAGGTATTAAATTTAATGCAGAGTAGCACAGGCACATTAATGCACATGTAGATGGGCTCAGTTTCTGATACTTATTCTGTGGTGTTAAACCTTTCTGTGATTAAGGCGATGATAGGGAGTGGAGGACAATGATACATTTAAAGAAAGAAATCAGGCTGAGCCTTCCTCAGGGCAGTTATAAACAGTCAATGATTTAATTTTTGAATGAAGAGAAATAGTTTGATTTTTTTTCGTGTACAGTAATTAGACTGAATTAGTCAATGTTTCTGCTACAGTATATACCTTAAATAGTTCGGGTGCCATGAAGTGATATTACCTACTGTGGTAATTAAGTTTATTGCTGGATTTGAAATTTTCTAGCAGATTCTTCAGATCTGTCAATAAAACAAAATTTCCTCAGGGTGCTAAGTGCTGAAATTGCAGTGGTCTCTCTGTAGGCCATTTAGGCCCCTTGCCTGAATGGAAAGGGAAATTTTAAAGTCTGCGTGTTTGATATGGGGCTGCAGTAGTGTAACGAGAAGGATTGACACCCTAGGCAAACCCTAAAGGGGAGCATGGTGGGGTGCGCACGTGAATTCCAAGAATAGGGGGCTGGGTTCAAAGAATGAGGATGGGGAGAACCTGAAGTCTTACCCAGTCCCTGGCTGTTGCTGCCCCCACCAGTACCACATGCTCTGCTCCCCCAGTTCTTGCTCTTAAAGCAGCATCAGTAGCACCACCACCACTGCTACCATTACCACAGTGTCTGTGCACCAGCTACTGCTGCAAGAGCAATGATGTGGGGCTGCTCTTGTTGCAGGGCATGGACTTCACAGGGATTGGGGACAATTTTGGTGTCCATCCTAAAGTGGTGCCTGGGGCCAAAGCCCTCTTGCCTGAACCTACTTATGCTACTGTGATGCTGCATTCTTTCTCCTGCTGTGTAGGAGGCCAAGGTGTGACACTGGTAGGAGGCAATATCAGAAAAGTGGTAGAGATCTGCAAAATCCTGACTCTGGAATAGGGTTACCATATTTTCAGTTTAAAAAAAGAGGACACCTGTTGGGGGGGGGGGAGAGGGAGGGAAGAGGGGAGGTGTGGGGAAAGGGATATATGATCGTGGAGGTGGGAGGGCAGTGATATGCCCATGCCCATGCCCATGCCCTGCCCCTGCCCCTCACACTCAAGTCACAGCCCTTAGCCCTGCTGCTGCCTCTCACTCCTGACCCACTGTACCCTGCCCCATGTCCCCTGTCCTTGCTGATGCCCCTCACTCCTGACCCCCATCCCCCTGCCCCCACTCCAGTTTCCCAACCACCACCGAGTCCTGGGTGAATTTGGGGTAGCTCAACACTGTAAGGCAGTGTCCCATTGATGTCTCCACTGGCACTGATGGAGTAAGGGGACAGTATCTAGGGAGCACAAGCATCTCTAGGCTGGTGTGACACCAGGGGATGGCAGAGGGCTCCACTGTGCCTGTTGACACTTTAAGGGTTTTACTGGGAGCCAGGGTGAGCAAGTAGGGGGCAGCTGGCACCTTGCTCTGACTCTGAATCATGACAGTGTCCTCTCACCTCCACACCCCACTGCACAGCCTGTATCCCCTTAAGCTGGGTTTCCAGGACTTAGTGCAACTCACGAAAAGGAAAGTCCAGGTTCTTGGTATCAGGACAATGCTGGTCCCACATCAGCATCCCCTGCTCTCTCTGACACTCCAGGCAGCTCTGATCTGGGGAGGACACGGCCAGGGCAGTGCCAGGAGCACCAGCTCTACTGACCTGAACATAGACCTGGGCCCCACCCAGCCTTGCTGGTGCTCCTCACTCCCAACCTTCAGCCCCCTCCCCTGCAGCCCTGCTACCCATGCAGCTCTCTCTCTCTCTCTCTCTCTTACCTGCCTGCAGCTGCTGGGGCCTGTGTGCAGACCATATGACGCCCCAGCTTCCAGTCACCTTCACCCAAACACCCTTGCTGGGTCATGCCCTGGGAAAGCAGAGGCAGAGCAAAAACCTGGACATTTGCTTGCATTTGAAAAACCCATACGGACAGAGGACTGAAAAAGGACATGTTTTGGAAAACCTGGACATATGGTAGGTCTACCCTGGAATAAAGCTTCCCAGAGAAGAAGCTCTCTTCAGTCTCACTGCAAGAAGAGCCCTTTTTTGCAGCAGTTTAGGCACTTCGGTTGAATGGGTTTCATGCCATGGGGTTTGTGGCTGTTAATGTAATAGGGAGTATGAATGAATCTGGTCTTACAAAGATCAGAGCTTGTTTTCCCACATGCACAGTATGCCATTTCTTGGCTCTTCCACTCACTGCAAGTTTATCCTTGGGCAAGGAGGCAATTTTTGCATAGGAGATGGGCAAAAGCATCTGCCTACCTTCCTAAAGCTGGTGGGCCCTAGTAACATGGTGTTTACAAAGAGAACCTTGCAAGAGGTTGTCATAGAAGCAGGAAACCTTGCTTCTGCATAAAAAACAAAATACAATATATTCTTTTGGTGACCTGCAGAGTACTGTGAGAATCTTTGCTTTACAAATTCAAATAATTGGTCAAATTGTGAGCTGCAAATTTAGCCCTTTTTCTTGGTTCCCCGACTGATTTATTTATAGGAGCAGACTTTGGGCTGCTGATTGTTTTAGGATTTCTTGGTATGACTAATCACTAGCTTTGTTTTTGTGACCTATTGAAGACCGATGCTAGTGGGGCATTTCCTGGGTAGATTGCTGAAGCTTTTTAAACGAACAGAAAATGAATAGTGGAGAACAGAACTCCAATTTCATTTCCATTTCATAGGATTGTCCAGGCCAGTCATTCATTTCTGTGAATGGCCAATGGGTGTCTGCATATGGATTACAGCCTTACAGATGACAGCATACTGATTGCTTGGTTTTTATTTACTGAATCATTCACAAACTGATTCCTTGAGTATTCTACCAACTCTGTGCTTTGAATCAGGGTGTGAGCCATCCTATATAGGTCAATGCCAAGGGTTCCAAGTTTGCATAAATTTAGCAGCCAATTGGGTTATCGTACTTAGGCCATCCATGACCAGTGCCAAACATAGGCCACTTTGGACTTCCCAGTCAGAATGGCCAGGTACCCATTTGGATCAACTATGCCTCTGGAGCCATAGCGTGATGCCTTAACAACTCTGCTACCAATCCTGTATGGGCAGTGTGGTTTAATGAGTATGGTGGCATTTAGACACAAGGATTTCAGTCTTGGCTTTGTCTGGACTTGTGGTGTGAATTTCAATAGTCATGTAGCTTTCTAGCCTGCCTTGCTGCAAAACAGCATAAAAATATCCATCATCTCAAAATAGTGTGAAGGTTAACTAATATTGGTAAAGTGCTTTGAGGTATTTAGATGAAAGGTGCTTTACATTATAAACCCAAAGTTTTATTAGAAGGATTGCTGTGACATTATAAGCAATGTTTTATAATAAGAAAACCCCATATTGTGTCTTCAGCATCTAATCCTTTTTTTTAACTTTAAATATCAAGGACACCTAACATGGAGCAAATAGGACATACATGTAAAACAAATAACAATGATGCTAACTTTATTAAAAAGATTCTTTGTGGTATCAGGCAGGAAGTGAAACTGCTTTCAAACTGCAAATATTTCTCAATCATTTCATGCACCAGCAGTCTTTGTAATAGGCTTTCTCTTGGTTTTTGCAAAATGTTCAGATGAGCAGATAAAAGTTCCAACTCATGGGGAAAAGGCAGTCATTTTTCTTTAATTTCAGCAGCTGTACATTCATTCCCTGACTCAAAGTGACCTTAGAATATGCCTCCAAGAACATGTATGCATACATAACAGGTATGTACCTCAAACAGATGCTAAAGTTGCTGTTTTTTATGATTCAGTGACAGATACCAGTAGCCAACTGGCTCGCTCAGTTTTGCCTTATTTAGAAGTACTCATTGGGCTATAAGTCTTATCAGGTATTGGATCCCTTCACCCTCCCACCATCATAGTAGTGAGCACAGTGTGAAAAGTGTTGAATACTTTGATGCTCAGTTAATGGAGGTTGAGGAGGCATAACAATAGGGCTGGTCAAAAATTTGCAGTTAAAACTGTTACTTTGCAGCAAAACTATTTGACTAAAGCCAAATAGCTGAAAACTGAAACTATGGTGGGGAAGGGGGACATTTTGCAACAAAGTCTACTCAGTTCTGCACCTGGATTGGGCTCAGAAAGTACCAAAGATGAGTATTAGTTGACTAGCTGACGTATCTTTTGACTAAAATTGACATCTCTTGACTAAAAAAATCACTCCTAAAATGTGGCATGTTGGACAACTATAAAACCGGCAGGGTTAGTGGTAGCTTTTATTTCCAGTAATACTTTTACTACCAGAAAACCTTGCTGTTTTCAGATACTAAGTTGCTGCATGTCATCAGCCACTAAAATGTTATTCTGATAACATCATATGGAAGGTCAGAAGGTGCAAAAAAATCCCAAGAAATTATAAAACGTTAAAGTTAATTCTATTTTGCGGAGTTCAAAATAGATCCATTTTAAATCTTTTCAGATATCTATCAACATATTTACCTAAGTTTTGCCAAATTGATAATTTTGATAATAAGCTTTATAAAAATATTATTTTTTTTTGCCAATAGCTCAATATTTTCATAACTCAACATTTTTCTTCCTTATTTTGACAAATGAAAGCCCCTTGTTCTTTAATAAAAGTTATATGTTGGTAAAAAGCTATGTTAACATTTTTGACCAGGTCTAGGAGTTAAGGCCTGGCATGGGATACAAGGAGCCTAGGCACAATTCAGCATACTGGTTTTGACCTTTAGGCCCCTAAACAGTTTGGGCCCTACATATCTAAGACACTGCCATCTTCCTTATATCCCATTGCTTTTATATATTGTTTCTGTCTTTTACTGTAAGCCATCCTGAGCCTTTGTTGGGAAGGTTGGCATATAAATAAATAATTTAACTAAATCCTGGTTTGCTGTGTGATCTTGTGGAAATCATTTCATTTTCTAATGTTTCACTTTTAATATCTGTAAAACTACTTTCTTATGTCATAGTGGTGGGAGCAGAAGAAATATACTGAAGAATGTAAGAGGGTCAGGTATGGTAGTAATCAGTGTCCTAAAGGAAAATAGAGGATTGGCTTGGTTGAGCATTTATGTTTTCACAGGTTGTCAAGTTGGAGCAATTTAGGACAACTGTAGACAATTTAGGAGATACCCACAAGATCAGCCCAGGTAAGTATCAAAGAACCTATTAGACAGCAGTATAAGGGGGTTCCAGGGGCAGCTACCAGGGGAATTAAGTGTATATATACAAATGCCAGGAGCATGGCAAACAAGCAGAAGGAACTAGAACTCTTGCTTGTGAGCAATAACTTTGACCTAGGGGGACTAACTGAAACCTGGTGGGACTCATGACTAGGTGGTAGGAATAGAGGGCTATAGGTTGTACAGGAGAGACAGAGGAGGGAAAAAAGGAGCAGGTGTTGCTCTCTATGTCAAAGAACAGTACACATCTTCCCTAATCAAATTGGGATCAGAAGATGGACAAGCAGAGATTCTGTGGGTTAGGATCCAAGGAGGTCAGGGGGAAAGGGAACTGGTGGTGGCGGTCTACTACAGGCCTCCGCACCAGGAGGATGAGCTAGACTGGGAATTTTCCAGGCAGCTCTGAGGCTGTGCGGTCTAGAGATATGGTAGTCATGGGAGACCTTAACTACCCAGACATATGCTGGGAGGAACAGTCAGCTAGATCTAACCGCTCACATAGGTTCTTAACCTGTATCCAGGACCTCCACCTAACACAGGAGGTAAGGAGTCCCACCAGGGGTAACACCTTGCTCAACTTGGTTTTGGCCATAGGGGATGACCTGGTGGAGGACCTGCAGATTCAAGGCAATTTAGGGGACAGAGATCACCAAATGAGAAAATTTACTATCCAGAGAAGGGTGGGCATTATAACCAGCAGGACACAGGTGCTAAACTTTTTAAAAAGGCTAACTTTAATAGGCTCAGGGGACTGGTTAGCAGGGTACTAGGAACCAAGAGCCTAGATGCTTTGGGGGGTCTAGGATGGGTGGTCATTCCTCGAGGAAACCATCCTTTGGGCTCAGAGTACAACAATCCCATGGCAGAGGAAAGGGGGCCAGGAAGCCCCTTTGGCTAACCAGGGTCATCCAGGATACCTTAAGGGAAAAAAAAAAGAAGCATACAGGAAGTGGAAGCAGGAGATAGCTAGCAAGGAGGAATACACTTCTTTGGCCTGTGCTTGCAGGAGTCAGTCAGGAAGGCCAAGGCAGGTCTAGAACTCAGGCTAGTGGTAGGGATAAAGGACAATAAAAAGTCCTTCTTTAGGTACGTTGGGAACAAAAAGAGGGTGCAGGGTAGCATAGGACCCCTATAGAATGGGCAGGGGGTCTTAGTGATGGATAGCGGGGACAAGGCAGAGCTCTTCAATGAGTTTTTTGCCTCTGTCTTCTTAAATAGGAACCTAGACGAACCCTCAATATGCATCATGGATACCAACAAGGGGAACATCAGCCAACCAACTGTCAGTGCCGACACGGTAAAAAGACATTTGGAGGGACTGGGCATGTTCATATTACCGGGACCAGAGGGACTCCACTCATGGGTATTGAAGGAATTAGTGAGTGTCATAGCTGAACCACTGGCAAGGATATATGAGCACTCATGGGTCAGGTCCCAGAGGATTGGAAGAGGGCCAATGTGGCCCAGTCTTTAAGAACGGGAGGAAGGAGGATCTGGGGAACTATAGACCAGTCAGCCTTACCTCTATCCCTGGGAAAATCCTAGAAAAAATTATCAAGGAACACATCTGTGGGAGCCTGCTGGCTAATGAGATGCAGAAGGGCAACCAACATGGGTTTATAGCAGGCAGATCCTGCCTGACTAACCTAGTTTCTTTTTACGACAAAGCCACCAAATGTTTAGATGCAGGAGTTGAGGTGGATGTTATTTATCTGGACTTCAAGAAGGCCTTTGACACAGTGTCCCATACCATCCTTATAAATAAACTGAAGAGATTTGACTTGGATGATTATACGGTAGACTGGGTAGCAAATTGGCTCAAGGGTTGCACTCAGAGAGTGGTGGTGGATGAGTTGGTGTCAACCTGGAAACATGTGTGCAGTGGAGTCCCTCAGGGCTCAGTTCTGGGGCTGGTGCTGTTCAACATCTTCATCAGTGATCTGGATGAGGGGGTGGGAGGCACCCTGTCCAAATTCATGGACGACATAAAAATATGGGGTGAAGCTAACACCCTGGAGAGGAGGAACCAGATCTAGGCTGACCTAGACAGGTTGGGGAAGTGGGCAGAGAGTAACAGAATACAATTCAATAAGGGCAAGTGCAAGGTGCTGCATCTGGGGAGAAAGAACTGCCATCATACCTATAGGCTGGGGTGGTGACCTTCTCAGCACCACTGAGGCAGAAAGATCTTGGAGTCACTGTTGACTCCAGGATGAACGAGTCATCAATATGATGAAGTAGTTGGCCGAGCCAATTGCACCTTATTGTGCATCTGTCGGTGCTTCACAAACAGGTCACGGGAGGTGATTCTCCCTCTCTATGCGGCACTGGTCAGGCTACAGCTGGAGTACTGTGTCCAGTTCTGGATACCGCAGTTCAAGCAGGATGCAGACAACCTGGAGAGGGTCCAAAGATGAGCCACTTGTCTGATTAGAGGCCTGCAGGGAAGGACCTACGAGGAAAGGCTAATGGGACTGGGACCTTAACCTCTTCAGCCTTTCCAAGAGAAGGTGGAAGGGGGACCTTGTGGCGGCGTACAAATTCATAAGGGGAGAGCAACATGAAGTAGGCAATGATTTGTTTACCGGGGCACCCCCTGGAACAACAAGGAACAATGGCCATAAGCTATTGGAGAGAAGGTTTAGACTGGACATTAGAAAAAAGTTCTTCACGGTCAGGGTTGCTAGGATCTGGAATGGGCTTCCAAGGGAGGTGGTGCTCGCCCCATCCTTGGGGGTCTTCAAGAGGAGACCGGACAGGCACCTGGCTGGGTTCACATGGCCCCAGGTTTGGTGACCCTTTTCTTGCCTGCCAGGGGCAGGGGGTTGGACTAGATGGCCCACTGAGGTCCCTTCCAACCCTAGAATCTATGAATGTATGAACTGTGGACCCTCTGTGGGTATGTGCACATGTTACACTTGGATCAACCTAACTAGGATTAGGTTGATCGAAGTGCTGATCTGTACAGATGTTTGGGGAGGTTAAATTGGGGGGGAAATGGCCAGCCTGATCTAAATTAATTCACTTGCGGGGGTGAACTAAGATCAGTAATGGGTTAGCTTGATCTACTGAATGCCTGAAGACATTTGGAGCACAGCTCCTATCTGGGAAAGCCCAGCTGTTCACTTCAGCCCCAGGTCTGTGCTCTTCCTACCCTTCTGGCTCTCACTGGGCTATTTTTAGCTCTCCCCTGCAGACTTGCTAACCCTACCCAATCTCACTTGCCCCTTCCCTCAGCCCCAGGTTTCCTGCATGGTTCCTGGCACTGGTGATCATTTGCACAAGCCACTCTTGATCCATAATCACATAGCTGAAAGCAAATCTCATGATCATAGATTGAGTATGGTGAACGGCTGCATGTGCCTTATGTTAATTTACTGTTCTATGCCAGTTTCACAATGGGAGTACTGAAAGTCCTGGGGATTTTAGAGACAGATGTGAAAGCTTTGGAAAGCCAACAAAAACATAAAGTTCAGAAGTAAAGAGGCACTATCCCAGCATCCACAAGTTTCATGAATAGCTCCTATGTGGTACCGAACACCTTCATCTTCCTTTGACTTCAGTGAGCGTTGAGTGTATCCAATGCTTAAAATGTTGTTCAGCAGCTTATTAGGTATCAAGCATTAGCATATGACATGGTATAGGGTTCAAATCTTATTGCTTTTATAAATGAGCAAAAAACACAGCCTCCAGTGATATGATTAACAAGTGCATAGAACAAGAAAACCAGAAGAGAGGGAATGAAGTTTGTGCACTGTGTGAAAGAAGTTAGAGGTCTCAAGCTAAACTCTGCACGTTTTGGGAACTCCTGACTCTGTGTTGGAAATCTGGTCTTTGGGTGCTTATACATGTGCATCAAGGCTGCTCCAATGCACTATAATTACAGCATGTTGCGGAAGACTTGATTAATTGAGTCTTCTGGAGCGTGGTAATTACTGTGCTCCAGCAGATGCCAGTGCCACATGTATCAACGTCCCCATGCTCAAAAATGGTGGCAGGGGTGCTTTAACTACAGTTTATTCAATGGCCCTTGGAGCCGCTCTGAATAAAGTGCCCCCCTCCCCATCTCCCAGAGCACATGTATAAACACTCTTTAAGGCTAGTGTTGTGCTTTGGCAGTACAGGGGTTGACTGCCATAGAAGCATTTGTAGATGTTAGATAAAGGAAAAGATATACCATGTTCTGCACCCATACAGAATACAAATTAAAAAATGGTTTAGTTTTAGATTCTAAACCTAAACCATTTGGAATAGATGGAACTGACCAACCTACTTTGTTCCTCCATCAGAGTCACTTGTCCCAAATAATTCTATTTTAAAATCTGTGTTTGATGAAATTGAATAGTAATTGTTCATCAGAATAACTTTCCAATGGGGAAAAATCAAATTAAAAATCATAATTTTGCAAAATCAATTTTTTCTTTGGAAAAATGTAATTTCCTCCACCCCTCTCTCAAATTAGTTCACAGCTTTGTAGCCACCTACATGGTGGGTATCTGGGCTTAATGGCTCCTTAGCAGCCCAGCAGATCAATTTTTCTAGAGCTGGGGCACCCAGGCTCTGGGCTCCCACATTTTTGGAGAGGTAGGCAGGCTGATATCCCAAAGAACCTACTTTTGTTTCAGAAACATTTCCCTGGAATGCTTTGATGTTTCTGAAAAGAAATATGGGATTTCAGGGAGGAACAGACTTCCAAAAATGCATTTTTTCCCCCAGAGCTGAAATATTCTTTTCCTAGCCAACTCTAGTGCTCGGTTTGCTTTTTTAATGAAAACATTTCTTCAGAAGTTGCCTCACAGAGAGGATACAGTTCAAAATACAAAGCTGTTTTATTGGGTATTACTTGAAGCTTAGTTGCTGTATTGCAGGACTCAGATTGGGACTAATTATTACTATGTTTTATTCTATTTTCATTTTTTTTCTTCCTTCCTTTTTGTCTTTACAGTTGCAACTAAGATTTCTTGTTTCTGTTTGTGTGACAACCACATCACCTTTGCCTCCTGGTCTTAGCTTGCTGGTGGATTTATCAAAGGAGTGTGGAAATGAAAAAGAGTGACTGCTTACACCAAGTCCTTAAATTGGTATGGCTCTAGGAGATAAATAGAACAGTCAGGGAGGTATCTGCCTACTAATGATACCGGGGAGGGTACCTGTATATTATCTGTTATGGAACCTATAATAAAAAAAAAAATCAGTAGTTATGTGGACAGATATGACCTGCTGGGGAATACTTGATATGGTTTTGTAAAGGGCAGATCCTGCCTTACCAATGAGCTGCTGTTCTTTTAGGGTGTTATCAAGCACATGAAGTAGGGGGATTCAGTTGACATATATTTGGGCTTCCAAAAAGCATTTTAGAAAACCTGCATTGCTACGGTATTGGAGGGAAGGTTCTTTTGTGGACTGAGAGCTGGTTAAAAGATAAGAAACAAATGGTACAGATAAATGGTCACTTTTCAGGGTGGAGGGAGATCAAAAGTGGGGTCCTATAGGGATCTGTGCTGCACTCTATTTTGTTCAACATTTTCATCAGAGACCTGGAAATAGAAGTGCACAGTGAAATCTTCAAGTTTGCAGATGATACCAAATGATTCCAGGTAGCGAAATCCCAAACTGACAGAGAGGATTTGCTGAAAGATTTCATGAAGCTGAGTGGGCAAGAAATAGCAGATGAATTTCAAAGTTGACTGGTACAAGGTAATGGACCTTAACTATATGCACACAACGCTGGGTTCTGACCTAGCTGTTATGACTCAGGAATGAGTCCTTGGCATTATTGTAGACAGTACTCTAAAAACATCAGCTCAATGTGCAGTGGGTGGCCAAAAAAAAAAAAATGTTGGGCATCATTAAGAAAGGAATTGAAAACAAAACAGAATTCTAAGAACATCATGCCACTATACAAATCCATGATGCACCTACATCTTGAATACTGTGTGCAGTTCTGGTCCCCACATCTCAAAAAGGAAGTTTGTAGAACTAGAAAAAGGGGAGAGAAGGGCAACCTAGATGATTGGGGCATGGATCAGTTACCATACTAGAAAAGATAGGGCTCTTTAAGTTTGGAAAGGAGAAAGCTGAAGGGGGATGTTATAGAGGTCGATAAAATCATGACAAATGTGGACCAAGTGAACAGGGAACTGTTGCTCACCAATGCAATTGGTGAACCTGGGGCCACCCAGTGAAATTAGTAGGTAATAGGTTTAAAACTTAACAAGATAAAGTACTTTTTACTATAACATGTAGTTAATTTGTGAAATTCATCGCCACAGAAGAAAGCATAGCCAGGTGCAA